CAGATGATCTTGGAAGAATATGGTACCTGGAAGGTCTGCTGCTGCTGTGGGTCAAGGCCATTGCCATGTTTCTGGGTGGGAGGCAAAGAAAGTGACAAATGACACTTGTTTTTTTAACCTTCTTTTGGGAGCCAGTATCAGTTCTCAGTATCCTGAGAACCACAGTGCAGCAATGAAAAGCTGCCAGTAGCAGATTTTGCAGTTGTTGGATTTGCACATCTCCTTGGCTCACTTTCTGAGTCAAGAGATGACAGTTTTGTTCCTCCTGTTTTGCGAGTCTGTTCCTCCAGTTTCACGAGCACTGGTGTGGTGCACAGTGGTGCAGGCAAGCAGAGCTGGCTCTCCTCCCCATGCCAGCCAGGCTTGGACCCAAACAGATGTTAAACAAAAATTGTGTGTATAAAAATGCTCTCCTCCATTTAGCTCAGTCTTCAGCCACAGCTACTGCTTTACTGGTTTGATCCTTGTGGCACAAGTTTCCAAGGAAGCTGTGGGTAGAAAGGGGAAATCCTGGGATGACAGGCACTCGCTGCATCTCAGAGTGTGGCAGTAGGCTTGCAGGTGCAGGTGCTGTCTGAGTTGAATGGTGACATCCAGCCATGGATCTCAAAACATAGCAGCAAAGTGGTTCCTGTGGGTAAGCAGTTCAGTGAGGAGGGGTCTTCTCACACTGTCCTATCGCATCTGCACTTGACCTTTGTTCATTTCTTTCCAAACCCTTGGTGGAGATTTAACAGCTGCCAGGAGTTGTCCTCAGGAACATCAGTCTGAGGAGGCTTCATGCTGCCATCACAGTATTTTTCTCTTCCTGTTGCAAAGTCCCTGTGTCCCTCTCTGTCCCCTCCCTGGTGCAGGTGAAATTGGTCTCTGGTCACTGGTGGTCCTGGCTATCGAAAGATACGTAGTGGTCTGCAAGCCCATGAGCAACTTCCGTTTCGGGGAGAACCACGCCATCATGGGTGTTGCCTTCTCCTGGATCATGGCCTTGGCATGTGCGGCTCCCCCGCTCTTCGGCTGGTCCAGGTAGGGGGGGGGGCCAGGCCCAGCACAGGGGGTGTGGGAGCCTGGCTGGCGGCTTGGCTGTGTCTTCCAGCCTATCTCCTCTGCTGGGCACTGACCTGCTGAGCTCACCTTGCAGGTACATCCCCGAGGGCATGCAGTGCTCATGTGGGATCGACTATTACACTCTGAAGCCAGAGGTCAACAACGAATCTTTCGTCATCTACATGTTTGTGGTTCACTTCATGATCCCGCTTGCAATCATTTTCTTCTGCTACGGGAACCTGGTTTGCACTGTCAAGGAGGTGGGTATCTGCCAGTGACAGTGGGCTGAGGGCCATCTCCATCCCCAGTGCTGGCAAAGGGCCCACACCAGGTTCCAGACTGGTGATGGGGAGGGCCTTCCAGGGGCCAAGCTGGCCCTCCATGAAGAGGGAAAGAGCAAATTCCAGATGCGCAGCTTGACTTCCATGAGCCCTCACCCCACATCCCTGCCGGCACAGCACACTCTGGCTCCATTACATTTCCATTTCCTTCCGTCCACAGGCTGCTGCCCAGCAGCAGGAGTCTGCCACCACCCAGAAGGCAGAAAAAGAAGTAACCCGCATGGTCATCATCATGGTCATTTCCTTCCTGATCTGCTGGGTCCCCTATGCCAGTGTCGCATTCTACATCTTCACCAACCAAGGATCAGACTTTGGGCCCATCTTCATGACCATCCCGGCGTTCTTCGCCAAGAGCTCCTCCATCTACAACCCTGTCATCTACATCGTAATGAACAAACAGGTAAGTGGCAGGGGGTGAGACAACTCCTTTTTTGTGTTTCAGTTTATAACACCTGGCAGAGAGTTACGGCATCTCAAGCTGCCAGTGGGCTGGAGGGGGGGTTGTTTCCAGGTGATCTCATCCTGGTACATGGGAGGGTGACTGTGCAGCTCAGCCTTGGCATTGCATAAATCTCACGAATGCAAGGCCATCCAGCCTGAAATGATGCAGGTGCTGCGTTGATGGAGGAGCCAGGGCTTTGGCAGGCAGGGCTGGCAGCAGCCAGTGGGGCAGGAGACTCCATTGGTGTGCTGCCTCCTGTGCTGTGGTGCTGGGGGCTTCCAAGCAGCTCTGCTGAACTTGGAGACAGCCCTGTAGGCAGAGCTGCCTGGTGTCCGCCTGCCTCACACTGGGCTTCCCTCTCTCCCAGTTCCGTAACTGCATGATCACAACCCTCTGCTGTGGCAAGAACCCGCTGGGAGATGAGGACACGTCTGCTGGCAAGACAGACACCTCCTCCGTCTCCACCAGCCAGGTCTCTCCTGCGTAGGCCCCACCTGGGCCAGTCCCTGGGGTGCACGAACTTAGTCCCACCGCTGTCACCACCTGCCCCTGCTTCGCCACGGCCAAGGCCCTGTGGGGCGGGCTCCTCTCTCCTGGCACTAGGAACCCTGGGAACAAGGCTGAAAATGTGTACACACGTTTTGTAATTAAAATGCAAACATTTAGCTCCTCTGGCGTATATCCGTGAGTTTCTGTTGACTTGCTGAGAGCCCGTGCCCCTGCTGTGAGTGCAGATCCTGGGGCGGACAGCCCTGCCATGCCAGGGCCGTGGCAGAGCTGCCCTCGCCTCCCTCTCCCCACCTTGACGCCCGGCCAGGGCACGTCCTGCCTCTGCTGCTGCCGGGGCCGCAGCTGGGGCCGCCTCCCGTCTCTGCTGCCGGAGATGAATCCTAGCCAGTGTCACACAGCCGCTCGGTCCTGCCGCGCTCCAGCTGCCCGGAGCAGGTTTGGCTGCGTCGAGGTGCCCCCGGCCCTGTCAGGTGCTACCAAATTCAGCCCTGCCCCACCTCCAGCCTGTCAGAAGCCCACGGAGGCGCTGCGTCCCCTCCGGGGGACAGCACAATACCGGTGCACGTGGGCCCTCCTGCGCTGCAGCGGAGAAGGTTGTGGATCCTGCCCAGCAGGCAGGAGCACGGAGGGCCCTGCCGGCACAGCACGGCACAGCACGGCACGGCACGGCACGGCACGGCACGGCATGGCACGGCACAGCACAGCATGGCACGTGGACAGAGCTTGCACCCTCAGCAGCAGCCGCGCTCCTCGTCCCCCAGCACTCTTTCCCACAGTCCCATCCGTCATCCTTAGGCATCTTTGGACCCCCTGGGCCAAGCCCCCAGCACACTCCCCCACACCCCTCTCCATTTCGGCTGCGGTCAGTTTGGCCTCGGCCCAAGAGGAGGTTTTGGGCAGCTCCTGTGCTGTTGAGGCTCGCCGGGTGCAGGGCTGAGCTCCTCCCGCGCCGCAGCAGGCAGGACCCAGCAGCATATGGCTCAGTGATGCCAACATATGTTCGAAGCACTACAAGATGGCATATTGCAATTGTAGCACTGTTCTTCATTTTTATTTTTAGCTCAGTTACACAAATAAGATGTTTTTCTTGCTGTTCAGTGTTATCAACATTTGAAACTATTTTTGTACATTATTATCCTCTCTGATTTCTAATCCTATGCAGCTTTGCAAGGACTAATAGGGAACGTATAGAGCCCATGCAAGTTAAACCCTTAATAAAGAGCAATTTGCAAGTACAATTCTCTCATTATTTTTTTTATCCATACTTCTGCATATTCAGTGAAATCTAAGGATTAGAGTTTTATGAATAATTCAGTGTTTAGGCTGATGTCTGATTCATGTACTTCAAATCTAGGAGGTGGTTTTGGAGGGAAGAGGAGGAAGGATTTAGTGTTTATTTGCTGTCCGTGAGGCTGTGCTCCAGAGGAGTGTGGCAATGCCTGGCACCACAGCTCACCTGCCCGTGCAGGACCAGCCCCAGCACACAGCCTGGCCCCGAGCCTGTGGGCTGTCACTCCTCACCGTGCCCAGCCCTACAGCTACTGCTGGTGGTGCTGGTGGCAAGCAAGGGTTTGGGACCTCCCTGCCAGCTCAGCTGGGTACCAGAGGCATCACAGAGCTGCCAGAGAGGTGATGGATGGATCCAGGTGGAAGATGGTGCCAGGCCCTGTCTCCTTCCAGTGTGCCCACTGTCCGCTTCCTGGGGAATTTGGAAATGGACTGGAAATGGAGCAGGGAGCAGGCTGGTGCTGCTGGTCTGGGGGGAACTGGGCATGTGGTGCTCCAGGCATTCAATCTCTCTCCCAGCTGCCAGACCTGCCTCCTGCTGCCACCTCAGCCAGGATCTGGCCCCCAGGCTCAAGTGGTGGGCACAGACCTTGATGAAGGTCTCTGTGGGCAGTAGTTTGCAGGTCCATTGCCATGGTGACAGGTCTGCTGAAGTGGCCAGGAGCCAATCCTGCCATACTGTAATCTTGGCTCGCAGCTTCCTCACCTTTCAGACAGACAATGCACACGGAAGCCCCGTGAGTCTCCTGTGTACAGAGGGAGGGATTGATGGGGCACTGGGGAGGAACACAGCAGTCCCCCAGGTGGGGACATTTGTGCTGTTCCTGCACCAAAGAACCTTCAGTGATTACTCAGGTGGCAGCAGAGAGGGGACGTGGAGGGGACATGGCTGTCCGTGTCTGGGGCTGGGAGTGCTCTCCCCCGAGCATGGTGGGATTCAGTGGGATTCAGTGGGCAGGGACGAATGGTCGTCCTGCTCATGAACATGATTATGGAGATAGTGGGGGGGAGTCACTTTGCTGATTAACCAAGCAGCTCTTCATTTTCCTCCTCTCCTTTGTGGGATTGTTTTTTCCCCTCCTTATCAGACCCCTGCTTCTCAGTGAAGCAAAGGGAAATAGCACATCCCACCAGCAGACTGGGAACAGGTCTGTGTGGGCCGCACACTGCAAGCTGGCTCCCCATGCACCCCACAGCAAATGCTATCAGCAAGCTGCCATCCCAGCACCCCAACACCCACCCAGCAGTGGGTAGGTACCTTTCCCCTGCCTGTTCAGGGCAATCATCCCACACACTCCCAGTCTCTCATCCCTCTCCAAACTATCTGCTCAGGTCTGCCCTGAGCCCCTCCAGCCCCACACAAAACTCTGGCAAAGGGCACTTGAATTCCCAGCTCCCACCTGGGGCGGAGACCAGAGCAATTAGCAGCTGCCAACCAGCTGCTATCCAGGCTGCTCATGAGATAAATTGCAGGGAGGTGAGCTGGGTCTAAGGAGCAGGGTCAGTGGTGTTGTGGGTGGAGCTGCCTGTGCCCAAGGCTGTGGGCTTGTGTGTTCTGCTATGGAGCCTCAAATGGGTAAGGGGTCTGCAAGCACTGCAGGGTCCTGCAGAGCTGGGTCTCTGGTGAGTCTCAGCTTGGGCTCTAGGGCTCACTTTGGGTTCTGGTGGGGCTGGGTCTCTGGGGCTTGGTTTGAGCTCTAGTGGCCACAGTCCCTGTGAGTCTGTAGGGATGAGTAGAGTTATGGCTGCTCAGCTTCTGGGGGCTTTGCAGCCCTTGGAGGTGTGAGTGTCTTGGGGTTGGACCCCAGTCTCAAATGGTGCCTCTTTCAGCCCAACTCACAGGTCCACTGGTCCTGGGCGGTGTGGCCCGGCGCCCTTCAACCCTGCAGATGGTCAAAGAGGCGCTGCAGGCCCAAGATGAGAAGAAGGGCGCCTCTGTCTTCACCATCAAGCAATTCATCCTGGCCAAGTACCCCATGGAGGATCCTATCCGGCTCAAGTACCTGCTGAAGCAGGCGCTGAGCAAGGGGCTGAGCTGTGGGGAGCTGGTACGGCCCCACAACTCCTCTGCTGTGGGGGCCACCGGCACCTTCATGGTGAGCAGGGGGCTGCCAAGGCAGCTGGGGGCTGAGGTGCTGCCTGGGCCCACTGACACCCTGCTTTCACCCCCAGTTAGCACCCAAGGAGCCACAGCACAAGCAGCATCTGGGCCAGGCAAATCCTGACAGAGGACAGGCCCTGAAGCCAGGACAGGAAGGGACCACCAAGGACCCCTGTGCCCCTGTGGCTGGTGCACAACGACGAGGTAAAGGGCTTCAGGGGCATGAGCCACCCCATGCTGCCTGGCCTCACCAGGACTCATCCACCACCCCATCTGCAGGTACCACGAAGCAGCAGCTGACAGCCATGAAGCAGAAGCCAAAAGCAAAGCCCATGGATGTGAGTAGGTGATGGCAGTGGGGCTGGGTGGCTCATGGCATGGCAGCACCCTGAGGTGCTCTCTTCCCTCTCCTCCAGGCCCAGCCACGAGCTGCAGTGAAGCCTGGGAGCGATGGAGCAAAGCCCCCACGAGCTGCCAACCACCCCCAGGCCCCTGGCACAGGGTGTTCAAGGCCCCCACGAGCTGCTGACCATCCCCAGGCACTTGGCAAAGGGTGCTCAAGGCCCTGTGGGGCTGAGGCTGCAGGAAGGAGCAAAAGCGACAGCTCTGTGGGTGCTGGGACAAAGGGGCCCCAAAAGGTCCCTGGGGGAAAGAGCAAGGGGAAGGTGCTCAAGGGGGCACAGCAGGGTCCCCCCAAGGCACAGAGGGGTCAAGGCCAGGCAAGGAAGCCCCGGGTGACCCCAGGAGCCAGGCAGGGGGAAGCCAGGCTGCAGAAGGCAGCATCCCCTGGAGAGGACAGAACAGCTCTGTCGGGGGACCCAGACAGTCTCACTTAGCCCTGCTTCAGCTGGCCCCAGGCCCTTAGGGTCTGGGCTGCTTTTAGTCCCCAGGACAGGTTTTAACTCTGTGTTTACTTCTGCTAATAAAGCTTCTTTACTCACCTCATAGAATGGCCTGACTGCTACCCTGGTTGTGGGCCCCTGCCCCTGGGCTCCCATTTCCCAGCCCTGGCCTCATACTGCATGGCATGGTAGTGAGTTGATACTGCAGGCAGCTGCCTCTCTGCCTGCCCTCATGGAGAGGTGCCCTGTCTGTCCCCGTGTCCCCAGCTGTGGTGCCAGGGGTATGCTGGGCTTTGGGGGCTGTGTGTGTCTGCAGGCTGGCAGTGATGGCCTGGGCAGGGGCCCTGGGACCCATGGGACACAGCATGGTGGCACCCCCGGGAATGGAGAAGCTCAGGCTTGGCCAGTACTGCTGGTGTGGACTGTGAGGTGTTGAGCCCTCTGCCCTCTTGGCTGCCCTTGTGCTGATGCCTGGCTGAGCTGGGATTATGAGAGCGCCAGGGTGGGAGGTCTGGGTGCATGCCATGGTCCCGAGCACTGGGGGGAGCTGCGTGTGCTCTAACTATAGTAAGAGAAAGATAGAGGTGTTTTAGGGCTCAAAAATGAGTTTGGAGTGCTTGCTGTAGCCCCCAGCATAGTTTGTGCTCTTGTTAGCTGTCTGTGGCACAGTTCCCACATCGAAACCTGTCTTGTGAGCTCCTGTGGGTCAGTGTATGACACTTTCATTTAATAGCCTCAAATGCCTGAATTTCTCTTGCTCTGCCCAGAGCAGAGCCCTTCTGAAGGTCAGGCTGATCGTGTAAAGGGTTACAGTCCTCCTGGGTGGGAGAAAATAAGTGGAAGTAAAACTCTTCCTAAAGAGGATTTCACTAATCTGCAGCTGGCCTTGCCAATGCCCTCCAAGGCTCCTGGCCTTGCTCTGGGGCTTAAGCAAGAGCTGAGCAAACTAACTTCTTTTTAAACTTCAGCCTTGGCTATGTTGATCCATCTTTAAGGGAGCTGGAACTCGTGTCCCTCCAGGGACAGGGTGGGGAATATGACAGCAGTAACTGAGCTGAGTTCACTGGATCCTCTGACAGTGGTGGCCTCACAGAGCCTCGCTCGCCCATGTGGCAATGTCCCAACAGGGCAGGGAAGGGGCTGTGTCCTCCCTCCTCACCATCTGCAGTGTGAAACGTGCAGCTCTCTTGCTTTGAGAGAGGCCAAGTCATTTAATGGCTGGATTTAGCTTTACTAAGAATCAACTTCCTAGCAGGAGAAAAAAAATCCCTCCAGTGTCTGGAAAGTGCAGCTTTTACTGGAGGAGATGGAAGAGCATGGATTTAGCAATGCCATGGTTATTAAGGCCCCTGGGCCAAGCTGGTGTCAGGGTGCTGAAGCTGCAGCCTGGTCTGACAGTGCAGGGAGGTGCTGGCTCCCCAGGGCTGGGGGGAGGCACTGTCCTGTGGGCTGGGCAGCTGGCAGAGGTGAGGGTGCCCGGCCCCAGCTGCTGCTGTGGGGCTGCTGGTGTTCACGTGTGCAGCACGGTGTCAGTCAGTTCGGGTGCCAGTCGTCCGCTCCCGCGCCTGTTCCAGCGGCAGCCGTGGCACCGGCTGTGGGAGTGCTGTGTGGCCACAGCGAGCTCTGCAGCTCAGAGAGGTACAAACCTGTCTCCTGCAGAAACAAGGGGGTTCTCACTGAGCTGCTGACCCTGCACATGGTGTGCCTCGTACATGCAAGGCTCGTCTGTGCAGGTGTCTTTCATGTGTGTACTCTGCACACACAGGGGCAGGAACTGCACTCCACAGGTTCAGCACCTTGTTTTATTACAAAGATAGGCTTTGCCAGGAATTTGCCACTTCCACTACACAGCAGGTAAGGGCACTACATCCACAACACGTGCCGAAGTTGGAAAACATGTTACAAAGGGCTCAGGGGTTCAAGGCAATACAACACTACAAACCCTTGAGCTTTTGCTCTGTTAAAGTTGTTCCTTTACATGGCTGTAGCAAATACTTCTTTTTTTTATTTTTTTTTTTCTTTGATAAAAATTAAATAATAAAGCAATAGCCTCAATACACAGCCCAGTCACAGCACCTGGAGGCAAACCTTACTTGCTCGACTCACTTGTTTCCTTTCCCTGTAACAAACAACATGGGGCTACAGCTCCATGGCCCTTTCCCTGCCTCCAACCAAACTCAACATTCTCTGCTACCTTGCTCTTTCTTGCCCTTGCCTTCCCTGTGCTGGGCCTGCCTAAATCTCTGTCAGCTATTCACAGTCTCTAACAGAAAAAAAAAAATTCAAGATTTTGGGAAATCACTTTCAAAATAAAATGTAGCCCAGCTACATTCTTAAGAGTTTATATTCTGAAGCCACATCCTCAGCAAAGACATTGAGACCTCTGCAGTGTAAGTACTTTTTCTGTAGTTCTCTTTAAAAAACCCCCTCTGTTCTTCCCCTTTCCCTTCCCTCCCTTCCCCCCTTTTAACATACTGGATAAAGTCTATCATTTGTTTTAAAATAGATATCTATGTACACATACACAACTCCGATGTTGCGGTTTCTGACAAATGTGGCATTACTGGAAACAATGGAATGGAGGCCACCTGTCCATGGCAGAGAGTCACCCAGGAGTACTTCTGGTGAACAGTTATCTAATACCAGGCTGCATCATTGTCAGTTGAATGACTAACAAAGGCTCCCCTTACACCCTCCTGCAGTGAGGTAGTAACTTTTTTCTTTGTTTCTTTCCTATTTGGCAGTTTGAACCATGGCATCTGCGGAGGGTCAGCCCTGTGGGCAGGAGCCTTTTCCCATGCAGGAATGCTGGCTTCGAGCACATGGCGTTGGCTGTACCCAGCCTCTTCAGAGGGGCCCGTGTGACACTGGAGACCAGAGCAGTCACAGCTCCCCGGGCTGCAGGAAAGAGAAGGGGCCACCAAGCTGGGATGGGGTGTTGCCCCAGTGCAAATGCCACAGGGCGGCACTGCGGTTTCTGGTCTTGGATGAGATCCACTGGTCTGCCAGTGGGACCTTCTCACTGACCCTGGCCTAAGCCTGAACACTCTCTACCTTAGTCTGCAGCTCGGGATGCCATAGCTGCTCTGCTGGCCTGTGTCAGGGCTGGGCTGCCAGGGGATGGGTCCAGTCCCGCTGCCTTTAAGGTCTGAAAACAGGCTGGTAACACAGCCAAGCCCCCCTCTCTTGGCTGCTCTCAGGTATCAGCCACGGGGGCTGGGCCTGAAGCAAGCAGAACAAGCTGCTTTAGGAGACACCTCTGCAGCACTGACCTTGTGTTTGGTGATGGCCACGGGGAAAGGCAGAGAAAAGGGAGGATGCTACCTGGTGTTTGCCCTGTGTGTGGCTCGAGGCCACTGTCAGAGGGCTGTCAGCAGGAGCTGGCCCTGTTGGCATGAAAGGCATTACTGGGGTCAAGGTGCCACAGACACGTGTTGAGCCAGTGCAGCGAGGCTGGGAGCAAGGGCCACGGTCCTTCCCTCACCCTCTGTCTGCATCTGGTCTAGACAGGACCATGCCTGCGACGAGCTGGTTGGGCAGTGGGATGTTTGCCTACCCACTGCACCTCCAGCTTGCTGTGTATGAGAGACAAGAACCCAGGGAAGGGGGAACAGCCCTTCCCATACCATCTTACATGGATTGCACTCCCTCTGGCACCCAAACAGCTGTCTCTGTTAGGGATAAAGTGCTTTCACCATGCCTTAGCTGCTTGGGAAGCAATTGCTTTGTCTCAGCCCCAAGTTCCTCATGTTGCCCAAGTCTCAGATGGAGGGGCAGTTATGTTTACACATACAGTACAAAAATTAAAAGGCACAAAAATACACAGAATGCAGCAGATAGTGAACAGCTGATAAGAGTCCCTGGTGTTCGAAAAACAAGGATGTTGGAGGGATGGAGTGGAAGGGAGCTCAGGTGTTGCTCTGATGGCCTATACTGTCTCTGCTTGTTACTCCCTGAGGTGACCCTTCTGCTTTGTGTCTGTTGTTCCAGCCTCTGCAGCCCCATCCCTTGTCCTGAGGAGCCACACGCCGGGATGCAGGGAGTGCTGACTGCTCGGGTGCTGACCAGAGGGAAGTGGTGAACTGACCTTGCCCCAGGTGTCACACCTCCATTTCTGGCTGGCAACAGCAAATAAATTATGGGTGCCACAGTGGATACCAGAGGAGTCTGAGCTGCTCTGAAAGGTGTCTTGTGGCCTCTTGTGATGTGAGGGAGCCCTTCGGCCATGGCCAGGACCACCCCCACCACAAGGCTGGTTTGAGGATGACCACGGTGTGCCTGCGGCTGAAGGCAGGTTCCCTGTGGCACTGTGCTGCAGGAAAGGTCACTTCCAGGGCTGCAGCTGGCCTAGGCTTCACTGCAGCACTCATAGATGTTGTCCTCCATGAGCGCAATCACTTGCTCGAATTTGTGCTGGAGCTGGGTGCGCTTTGTTGTGGGGTTGGCATCCAGGGCAGCCACGATCTGTGGGTGACATGGGCAGGTGGGTGGATAAGGCAGTGTAGGGGTGCCCACCTGCCAGCCCAGTTCCCGCCGTCAGCCCTGTGGAGCCCAAATCCCAGCCATAGCTGGAAAGCCCACCCTGCCCTCCAGCCCCTGCACAGCTGCTGTCCTTGGGCACAGCTGGGTCCTTGGCCAGGGCTGGGAGAGGAGGAGAATGTGGCAGAAATGCTCTGCAATAATGGAACTGAGGGTGCAGCACCAGCCTGTGGGGTGCAGGGGGGCAGGAGCCAGCCAGGGCCACTGCCTTGGTGGGGGTGGTGGGTGCATATTATTTTGGGGGTGGGTGGATTGTATCTGCATGTTCTGCCCTCTTGAAAGCACCTACACATCAGGCAGCCCCGCTTCAGTGCGGCCCAGTCGAACACCATTAAGACCAGCTGGTAATAGCTGGCCTTCTCTTCCAAGAAGTTGCCAGCCAAGGGACACAGAGCAAGTGCATCTGCATGTGCATCTACTACATATGTGCTGGGACTATGGAAACCCTGATAATCCCTGTTCTGTGGGACTGCATGCAAGTGTCTGATTATGGAGTTACCACAGCAGGCATGCTGAGACCCGAGTGCCCTGAAACCCACTCACCTGGGAGCGGTATCTCTTGGCATATTTGTATATCTCAGCCATGGCAACATTGGTGTTGAACTCATTCCGGTATTTCTTTATAAAGACAGAAAAAAAGAGAGGATAATATTAACAGGATGCAGCATCTGAGTTTCAGCCCAGCCAGCCGGCAACAACTACATTAAAAGCAGGTTTTGCCTGGGTAATTTTATTTCTGTTGTGTTGGGGCAGCCAAATTCTTGCCTTTTTCCTTTAAGGAAGGTGCATTTGCTTATAACAGGACAGGTCTCCATCTTTTCAAAGCCAGCCTTA